TGATGACATTGTGTAATACCAAGCATTACATAGATAGTTTTTTCCCAAATATAACACAGCAAACTCAATTCTGAGAAAATCTAAATGATATTTTTGTAAGACCGAATTACTACTTTAAATCAATCAAGTTTAAAAGGTATTTTATTTGTCTGTGTCATATCATATTATATTCAAAACCCAATACTGCCAAACGCACTAACGCTCATTTTGACATTTGGGTTTTTGAAAAGCAACATTCCATAGAGCAGAGAAGTGTTACTTATGCAATCTCTTCTTGCCTCCACCCAGAGTGCAATCTACCCATGATGCCATGCGATAATGGTACAAGATGCATTGGACCATGGGATCGATGTGATGGTAATCCTGTCTGTGATGATGGAGAAGATGAAATCGGCTGTGGTATGTAGATCATTTTTTGTGTTTTATACACCTGTTTCATGTTTATTAGTTTTTACCAATTCGATGTTTAATTTATGATTCAATAAACGTTTTATTTATATTAATTTTTAGCTTGCGGTGATTTCGGTTTCCAGTGTGAAAACGGAAGATGTATTCATTCTAATAATCAATGTGATGCGTACGACGACTGTGGCGACAACAGCGATGAACAGGAATGTGGTAAGAAACGAGAAGCATCATGCACACTGACTTCGTTAATTACATGATTAAATTTATTTAAGTTTGTCATTCGTAGTTATTTTATAACAAACCCAATTCCAGTTTTAGTCGAAAGTCGCGCTCATATACGTGCTCTTTTTTAAATAATGCGTTCCAGGTCATTTTGAGTGCACAGGAGGAGGAGAACTGATTTCTAAAAAACTCATTTGTGATGGAAATGTAGACTGTTCGGACGGTAGCGATGAGCATGAATGCCGTAAGTACATCAACACAGGTATTCCTAAGTGATGATAATTGAAAAAGTTGGTTAATACAACAGAGATATAACTGCGTCACTGTGGGTAAAATATGATTATGTACATCACAACTAAAATTATTTTGTAGTTTTAGATACAAGATTTAAATGTTAAATCAGGAGTCGCACCTCTTACCTGTATATTGTGTGTTCATAACCCTATAACAATTGCACGTTTATGTTTTTAATATGATAATACATGCATTGCAATTGACGATTATATTCATATGTCACTTTTTTATTGCAAGATATGTCTTGTTCATGCTGTGTATTATATCAAGATTCTGTAGATTTCATCAGAAGTAAATGTTTTTATACAGTTTATTAATTTACCACAAAAAATAGTAAAACTAAATTTTAAACGTATCTCTCAAAAACATCAACTTAAATAAAATTTTCCCAAGGGTACTGAATATGTGACGTTTCCCAAACCATATATTTGTTGAGTGCTTGGGTGGTAGAATTAGCTAAAATAAAACTCCCATACTCTTCTTGTTTAATTCCATGACCTTGCTGACAATACACTTGGCAGTGATGTCATTACAAGTGATTCGCAGCTAACATGGATTATCTAGATACTGATCTCCTTCTTATAGTGGTGTAGACTGTGTTTGAAATCATTGATGAATATGGCTGTCTTCAGTATAGTTTATTCGGTATGAAAAACACCGACAAAAAAAAAGACAAATCAAGTAGAGATGCGAAAATTAGTTCTACCTAGGATAGCCTACAAAGTCGTGAAGAGTAAATTAAAAAAGTGGAATTATAAGTCACCACCAGTACAATAGCAGAAGATGCTCGCCTCTGGACAGCTGATGGTAAACTGACAAACATCACACCTCACAATTATCCAGCACGCACCAGTCTAATTTGCATTACAATATATACACTCTCATACAAGTCACTCCAAGCGACACTTAATACCCCTACCTGCAAATGCGTCCCATAGCTTATTACAACTCACATCACTATACAATGTTAATTAAACCATTGCTCAATCCATTGTTTGCCAAGAAATCGTTGCATATATTACATAAAAGGTCTTCAGTCAAATTAATCAACACGTCCAAATAATAGTGCTTCTCACTAAAATTCAAACACAGCATACGTTCACAATAATAACCATAACTCTTAAACTTCTTACATAATAACACACTAAAATAATAACACAATGTTGTCACAACATAAGACCCTTGGGTTAATTTGCTTTTGCTTTTAGTATTGTGCACTGCTGTATCTGAGCAACGGTTTATGCTAGGTAACTTCAATAATGAATGTTCTTTTTATCTAAAAGTGACTGGTATAGCAGTAAACATTCATATTTATTATGACTCAGTGTTTAGTTATTTGATTCAAGCGTAATTTAAATGATTTTCAGCATGTCATTCTAGTGAATTCGATTGTGGCGATGGGTTTTGTATCAGCAGTTGGAATAGATGTGACGGTACGAACGATTGCATTGATGGTTCAGATGAAGTGTGTGGTAAGTGAGTACACACTAATCGCAAATTCTTTTCAGTATACTGTATTATTTTACTCAATTTCTCTTAAACGTGAATAATATGTATTATTGCAGCCACAGTGTGGGGGACAATAGCATACCATACTCAACGTGTGTCACCGTATCGCACAAAACTTTGTGGGTTTGATACTTTCTAGTAATAAATTTTTTTTCAATTCATTAAAACTTTTTCTGTTGCAGAATGCTCTGACGCGGAAGGAAAATTTCTTTGTGATAATGGTAATTGTATATCGTTCTATGGTATATGTGATGGCCAGGATACATGTGGGGATAATTCCGATGAACTCATTTGTGGTAAGTACAAATTCGGTCGGTGCCGTGCCATAAAGTGAAACACCTATCATCTTATATAGCAGTGGGCACTCACGCCAGTGCGGTAGTGAAATTCTCAAAACTTCGATCGAATAGTATAACGGGGGGGAAATTCTTCTTCTCTACGGTTCTCCACATGTGTCAGGGGGAATATCGTCTCTTCTCTCTATCGCGTCCCCTTGAGGTACGGGATCGGGAAAGTCACTTAAACTTTACAGTCAAATAGATACACACAACAAATTACGTTTCAACTCTCGTCTTTAGTCGGTCAGTCGAGCACTCTATAAGACACAGCGCCCTGGGGAAAAGTCTCCAAGACTATCGCAAGGCTGACCCAAGACTCTGTACCTAGACTGGACCAAGACTGCGTCTCTCGTGGTGTCCTCGCCAAGACCAACTAAAAACAACTTTATTCATTTTCAAAATCTTAACCAATTACAAAGAAGTTTAAAGTCTTTAAGGCGCGGACCTTCAATCATACGGCCAATCACACTAAGTACTGGACACGTCATATCTTTTGATTAATCGTTCACTATATTAGTAATTGCGAATACCAACTGTATGTCAGAAATAGTAGTCCGAATAGCGACGGTTATATCGTAATTAGTTCCAAATCACTGAGTCGAGTTCCGTCCAGGACCTTGCATGAGCCTAAACGATGACAGACATAACACAGCCATTCGCTAGTAATCAGCTAAATAAGTCGATCAACAGATACGGGCAAACAAATTCATCACAGTAGCATGACAAATAATTTAGTCTTCGTCAATGTATTGTTTATTTAAAATGCAGTCGAGTGAAACAAAATCAATATCTAACTAAACTCACTTTATTAATAGGGTTGTGTTTAATATACAATTCAATGAGTATGAGGTTACCACAACAAATCACCAACAATAGTGCAATGACTTTTTCGACAGATCGTCTCAGCAGTTTGAAAAACCAAGGACCAGAAAATATTCTGCGTAATTATGCATACGTTTTGTCCTCCATCTTTTAATGCATCTTCTCTCCAAGGTTGGGAACATGTTTACCGACATATAATAACATAATATTATAACATGTTCGATGATTATTGACGTTACAGAACTGTATACTTGTGACAATGGGCAGGTAATTAATCGATATCTCCTGGAGCATCATCATTGATGTGTGATGGTTATTTTGACTGTTTGGATAAGAGCGATGAAAAAGGATGTAGTAAGTAGAGCAGTTACACACTGTGATTTGTAAATCAAATGAACGTCAATGTTAATAGATTTGAATCAATATTTAAAATACATCATATAGTGTC